TTAATTCTGAACCTACTGCAAGTTAAATGTAACTGGAAATTAAATACCTGCTTGATAAGGTGTCTGAAAGTTTGTTTTTTCCTCTCAAAATTCTCAAAAATTCTTACTAAAAATGCAGAAGGGCATGAGGCAAGGAATTAGTTGAGTCTAAGAAACGAGTGGATTTTAAATAACATCTGCACTGGATGAGATTTTTGGTTGCACTGAGACTTTTGCAACCAACCAGGAACAACCATTGTGGATGAAATGGAAGGAGTTGCAAAGTGCTTTTATTGTAGCAGGGTTTATGGCTTGCCTGGTTTCCGCTTTTTCCCCTCCCTTCATCTCTTCATTCAAGACCATGTAGTCTCCTGGCACCCTGCTATGCTGTGTTGTCTTCAGGCATCATTCTCTCCTGCCTGCAGACAGGTTTTTCCATGCTTGCTCTCCTCTTTTGTTCAGTTTTGGGTACTGGTCTGAATTGCTTTAAGACTCAGAGAAGTGTAAAAAACAACCAACCAACCATTCACAGACTTGGGAGTTCAAGTTGTAAACTTGCAGATTCCTCAGTCTAATGACATTGATTTGTCAAGCTTGGATGCAGATTTTTTTTTTTTTGTTGCTGTATGAGAAAAATTCCTCAAGAAACATGGGGAAAACTCACTTCAGCTAGCCAGCCCACTTGGGGTTTCCTGGTTTTTGTGTTTTCTGGTAAGCTCATGTATGTACTGTACGCAGCCATTCTGTTCTCTTACATGCACAAACACTTTTCACTCAGAACTTAGGAATTTGCATTATGCTCCTGTGATGGAGGGACTAAAAATTGACCTTCTGCATTGGAGAAAACTGGGTGATGGCAGAATTTGCAGCAGCACTAAGAAATTGAAAATTGGAAGGCTCCTGCTGTTTCTGTTGACCTTTTTTCCTCTTGCCTTGTAATCACTAGATCATTCGACACCAGCCAGCCAGTCTCCTCACTCCTCCAACCCCAGCAGCTTGCCAAGCTCCCCTCCAACCCATAACCACAATTCTGTTCCCTTCTCCAACTTTGGACCTATTGGGGCTCCAGACAACAGAGACAGGAGAGTCGCAGACCGCTGGAAAACAGATAAGCCAGGCAAGTGCTGGGTTCCAGGCTTGCGTGAAGTCAGCCGATGGGGTTTGTTTTGCAGTGGTTTTGTTATTTTCCTTTGAACTTGTCTCTCTCCTGTTTTAGCAATGGGAGGGTTTGGTCTGGACTATCTCCCAGCAACATCGTCATCTTCGGAGAGCAGCTGGCACCAGTCCAGTGCTCCCAGTGGCACCTGGGCAGCCCAAGGCCCTCCCGCTATGGAGGATTCCTCAGCCGTGCTTATGGAGAGCCTGAAGGTACGTTCGAGTGAAACTGCGCTCAGGAATTGGGTGCTTGTTGATGGGGCCAGAAGATCCAGTGATGGATGTTAGGCTGTCGCAAGCTAAGTCAGGGTTCAGTGTCGAAAAACAAAGGTTTTTCTGGCAGATTCACTTATGCAGGCAATGTGGGAGGTGTGACCAGTGCTGGAAGATGTCAGAGTTTTCCAGTTCTCAATGTTCTAGAATATTTTGTGGAACAAGTTCAGGCTGGCAAAACTGAAAGAAATAGAAACGCTTGCTTTGACTAATCTAAAATTAGTAATCATTAATGTGGGATGAATTTTTATGGTAATGAGGAATCTGGAGGAGGAGAAGCTTCTTCCAGGGAGCCTCTCTCTAGAAGGCCTTCCTTGAAGTGTGGATAACTTTCCTGAAGAGCCAGGTACGATCGATAAAGAGGGAGAACATAGAAAACTGTCTCTACTTTCTCATCTGTAAGAGGGAGGTTGTCTGACGCAAGGGGATACTAGTGTTGGCTGTTTGTTTCTAGTCCATCTGGTCCAGTTCCATGATGCACCCTGGACCCTCAGCCCTGGAGCAGCTGTTAATGCAGCAGAAGCAGAAGCAGCAACGCGGACAAGGCACCATGAACCCGCCGCATTGAGACAGAGGTGGCAACCCTTGCAAACGAAGGCTCCATAAACCATGGCATGTTGGGTTTGCAGGACTGGCCCACACAGTCCTGTGCAGGTGGCAGCCCTCTCTTCTGTTCCTTGCTGTCAGGAGGGCGTAAGTGCTCCACCAACCCACTGAGTGTGCACAAAACGTCTGCAGTGCAAGAAAACATCAGGAACTCTCCCATCCCTGGGCCCTCTGGAAGGAGAGAGGAACTGCTGTTTGTCTCACTCAGTAACCTGATGTCACCGCCTCTCACCTTCTCCATCGTGCATGTCCCCAGCCACATGGGAAGTAAAAGCTGAGAACGAAGGGCGGATGGGAGAAGCCAATGAGAACTTCTCAATCCTTTTCCTCTCTTTGGGGAGATAAAATAGGAATCCATTAATGATTGCTTTGCTGACTGAGAATGTAGTTGAAATTACTCCTAAACATCTTTATTACTATCTCAGTAGTAAGATCACACTGAATTCTTCCGTACACAGACGTGCTTCGTAGTCAGTGTGTAGCAATGAAAGCCCCGGTTGCTGCTCTGGTCAGAGGTGGTTGGTGGCAAGGTGGGGCTCTATCTCCTGGGCTAGCGAAGGGGTTTCATGAAGGAGAGTCTGGCACTTGAAACCACTTCACCTTTCACCCAAAGGCTTTGGCCAGCCCATGGGTGGGTTAGAGACTCCAGCATGAAATGCCCTCCTCTCAGTAGGTGTTTGAGCTGTAATCGGTGATGTGGGGCATCGCAGCACTCTGCTGGACAAGCAAATTAACTGCTATGGGGTTTTAAATTAATGTTTGATTCCTGTACATTTTACTGTAGCATAGTGGCTAGCCCCGCAAGGGGCAGGCTTGTCTGTGCATTCACAGCCTGACTCATTTTAATAGGTAGGTAGAAAGCTTTCAGTGTTTTTGGTTTTGGGGTTTTTTTCTTTTTTTTTTTCTTTTTCTTTTTTTTTTTTTTTCTTCTTTCTCTCTCCATCCTTCCATCTTCGCTGGATGCTAGTAGTTTCATTACCAACGTGCAACATCTCGCAGAAAATAATCAGGGGTCCAGCAGGGCTGGGTAAAGCCAACAGCCAGCCTGGACAGTGCGGAGTGTACGCTCCCCCTCGTTCCCCTCCCTGCCCCAGCAGGCACACATAAGCTCTGCAGAAACCCCTGCCCCCAAACCTGCAGTTCCAGAATGAAATTCAAGGCACTCGTGAACACGCATGTGTAGCGTGCACATGGAAGAAAGCATAGTGCTGTTCGTAGATGAGAAGGCGCAGAAGGGAAAAGGAAAACGTTTTATTTGCTATTTATTGGGGGGAAGGAAGACTGGAAGCTTCATTAAGGAAAAGGACAGCATTTTTGTTAGGTTTCCCAGGGAAGTTACGGAAACAATCTCAATGTCCGTTTGCTGTGTTTAGCAGTTAGGGGTTTGTGTGATGATTCAAGATCTCTGAGCTGGAAGTCAGCTGCAGAGCAAAGCACATGCAGGAGCCGAAGTGACACTGAAGTCTGGGCAGCCCCAAAGAATACAAAAAGGGAAGACGGAGGAGACACGATACCCCTCCAGGGGTACGAGCAGCTCCCCCACGATCTCCACCTTAGCGACATCACTGTTCTTCGTTGCATTTTGAAGCTGTGTTTCCTTTCTTCGAAGTCCAAAAAGTGAAGTTTCCACCCAGTGATGATACGAACCAAACCCCTCTGTACTTCCCTTCAGCCCTCCCGGTTTGTCTACCGAGCCGTGCACCCAGTCAGCTGTGACATTCCAGTGTTTGAACCGTCACTGACTCTTGCACCCTAGACGAGCTAACCAGGTTCACCATCTTGCTCCCGGCAGTGCCAGGGTCCCGGCCGCACCGTTCCACTTGTGCATGAGCATCTGGCCTCGGGAATGCGTCCGACTCTCGGCTGGGACTCCCCTCTTGCCCTCCGATGACCTGGGGGAGTGAGGGAAGGGGCCCCCAACAGAAACTGGTTTGTGTTGTAAGCTTTTTTTGTGTTTTTTGTCTGTCTGTGCAAGAACTGCAGCTGCTGAAATCAGCTTTGCCTTTAATTAAACCATGTTCTCTCCATCCAGGTCTGTGTAGCATTTATTTCCGGTGTAACTTGACTGCAGGCTTTTAAAAACATGTTTTTCTGGAGAAGTCGGAAGAAAATTTGAAGTTGGTTAATTATTTTTTTTTTCCTATTTGAAAGAGAATGAAATAAATCGCAGATTTGGGCTTAGTGTAGATAATTGGATTGTGAGTTTGTGCTGCTTGTGTGCAATGCGTTTTATGGACCAAACCAAAAACCTGGGTTGGGAGTAGCCTGCAAAGCTCTTAGTTGCAGCCTGAACCTGGTAGAGCACAGGCAGTGAGAGTTGGAGGACACGGATTCTTCTCCTGTTGACATGCCTGCAGATTGGGATGCTGGCTGTTTGCAGACAGTTTTGAAACAGCGTACTTCCAAAGGTGTCGAGAACTACAGAGATGTTCTGGTTTTGAAGTGAAAGGTGAAAAAAAAAACAAACAACCCACCCATACATTTATACTTTTATTGGGTGGGGAGTGTTAAAGTCACTGTGGTTCTTGAAGTGACCTGTCAGTTGGAACAGGGCAAGGCTGCGTTGTGTCTCGTCAGCTCTCGTGTTGGCAGTAATGTTTTAAGGAAGCGAACACTGCTCAGCCTTTTCTGGTCTGTAGCTTCCTGAAGGGCAGTTCCTCTTCTGGCTCTGTGGACAGGGCTGTAAATGCAAGCGGTGCCACCCACTTCTGGGTTTTCCAGGATAGAGAAGGTGGGACAGAGCAAGTCTCTTGGCAAGCACAGGTTTTAGAACCGAATCTATTCCCAACAGGAAGATAATCAGCAATTTTTTAATAGATATCTGTTTTAGAGAACAATGCAAAAGGTAAAATATAAAGCTTTTAACACAAGCAGCAATAACATTTAAAGTTCATTTTTAGATGCAGTGATCAATAATAGAAACTTCTTAATTACAACAGCTGAATTCGTAATTTCTTCCACATCGATGACTTTAAGCTCTTCTGAAATCACATATCCAGGTCTTTAAGGTTAGGCTTTTGAACAAAAGCAGAAGGGAAGATGCCTATCTTCCCATTGCACTGGCCTTCTAACCAGTCGTCATTCACTGAAAGAGAAAATTGTCACAATTTTTGTCACCCTAGGGATATACAGGAGCGTAATAACTTCCACGTGCTACAGACGGGCCCGAGATCATCAGTTTTAAGGTGTTCCAGTGATAAACCTTTTAGCCATGCTAAAGCCTGGTAGAGTGAGGAATGTGGAGGAAAGGGGCTGAGGAGGAATGAGGTCGAGAGCAAATTTATAAGGTAAGAAAGAATGCACTGCCAAACAAAGGTGGGAAAGCAAAACAAAATAGAGACCGAGGGGCTTAGAAACTGTCCTGAATAGAAGACAGTGGAAATGAAGTGAGTGTGGTAAGGAAATGATGTGAGACCTTGGGCTTTCTTCCTCAAGATGCCAACTAATGTGGTTTCACATCCTGTTCCATGTTCATATAAAAAACCCAACCCCAAACAAAAGCCCAAAGCCTCTGCTACCCTGGGTTGAGTAAAGCTAAGGAGCTCTGAAAACTCTTGCTGCAGGGAACTAAACCAGATGAGAACCAACTTTCTAAGGGAAAATATTTAGCTCAGCAGTGAAGGGGAGAGTAGGATTTTGGAGTTGGAGGGAGTAAAACTCACCTGCACACCGGTAGAGAGGGGACTATGATCACTTGTGTACTGCTGCTGAAGCTTGCCAGCCAGCACAAATTACTGACAGAGCTACATGTAGCAAAGTATCATATTTTTTTTGCCTTTAAAACTATTTCTGATGTCTTGATTACGTTCAGGCTCAACTGAGGAGGGAAGCAGATGCCCTGTGGAGGGTCTGTAGGTAGGTCTTCACCTGATACGAGCTCACCAGCAGCTTCTGCTGAGACATGGTAACTTTGTCCTCCCTCCTGTGCATTCTGCACAGAATTGAAAGGATCCAACTTAAAAACATATGCTAGATCTTGCTGAGGTATAGTCTGTATTTAATGATTGTACACTTCAGCAGAAAACCAGCCAGAAAAAGGCACCAGGTGAGAGGAATGGGAGTAAGAGCATTCTCCCATTGCAGGGGCGGCAGCCAAAATGAGGCATCACCTTTAAAGAATAAACCGCAACTGGTAAGCTTGAGCATAGCTCAAGTGAAACTCTCCCATCTTGAAAGTGCTTGGAGAAGGGAATGACGGAAATGGGTTTGATGAAAATGTGAGACTTTGAGCAACCTGGTCTAGTGTAAGGTGTCCCTTCCATCCTGAGTGGTTGTAACTACATGATCTTTAAGGTCCCTTCCAACTCAATCCATATGATGATTTCCTGGCGGGAGAAACACCTGCAATACTGAGACTGGGGTGGGAAGCCCATGGTAGAGGTGGAGGAGCTCTGCTGCTGCTGCAGCACAAGGCAGTGGTGGATGGAAGAAGGCACTTGTAGAAAGCAATCCTGCAGGCTTTAGGTCCTGCTTACCTTGTGGCTCCAGTGAGCTGCTGGCAAGCTGAAAACCCTGTCCTTCATCAGGAGCATGCAAAGCAGAGGCTAGAAACTCCTCAATAGGTTGGATTTTTTATTTTTTTTTTTGTCTTTCATTGGGATGGAGCAAATTTGCCCCATGAATCTAGAAGCTCAGTGACTCAGCTCTTAGCAATGTGAAGGAAAGCAACTCTCATGTGTTCTTTACGTTGTCCTTTCCCCTGGCTTCCACCTGCTCATACGATCCCTACAAGCTTCTTTTCTAACCTCTCTTTTAAAGTGTTTGTGTTCAATGCAAGCTTTCTCAGAAGTGCCCTGCAGCAGAAATCTGAGCAGCCTGTTTTCCGTCTAAAGGTGGCAAACCGCAACTTATAGGAGAAGTTTGCTATCTGTGAGGGCTGCCTGAGCCCAGGCTGTTGCGCTGCAGGTCCTCAGCATGAAACACTGCTTTGGAGGGCAGGAGCACTCACGAAATGAGATCAAAGTCCCTAGTGAAACTTGTAGGATCTGCTGAAGAACATGCGTCCCAGTGTCCGACCAAATAGTTCTTGGCCTGACGGAAAAATGGTGTGAACCCACAACTTCCACTAAACCAAGCAGGTGCTCAGCATCTCAGGGTCAGACCTGTGCTCTCACCAGAGCTGGGATGTCCGTCCCCTGACACCGAAGGAGCATGATTACCTTTGGATAAAACACGTATCACGTCTCCTGCCTGAAACTCCAGGTCTTCAGGTTGAGTGGCTTCGTAATTGTACTGCGCTACAACTTGAGTTGGTCCCGTCTCCTCCAGTGTTGCCTCCTGCAATGACTCCTCTGGTTTGCTGTCCAGTAAAAACCCCTCTCCCTAGGGCAGGAAATAAGCTGGTAAGGACACTGCTTTGTCTTCTTTTAATTTGTACCAGGGTGAAAGACAAGCTCTGTTTCTCTTCACTTCATTCTTTGCTCCTCTGCCTTTCAAGAGGTTGCCAGCTTGCTTTGAAAGCCACAAGCCTGCGCTCCCGGCAAGGAAAGTGAAGGCAGTGTCTGCTTAGGTTCCTTGCCAAGAGCGGGCAGAAGAGGTGGTTGCCACTGCTAGCAGTCACTGACCTCCGTGATGTCGCACCAGACTGTCAGACAGTTGTCCTTGCTCTGGCTCCAAGCTGCCTCCAGGTTGTCTGCCCCCAGTGTCACCAGCACTTGGCCCTCCGGAGGCTTGTACCTGGGTGTGCAGAGGACATGGAGTAAGGGTGGGAGCCCTGAAAAACATGGCTCTAGAAAACTCCCTGGAGCGGGCAGTGCCTCACCTCAGCTGCGTGTGCGTGGGCTGGAGCTCCAGTTTCTTGCAAACCACGTCCAGGAGTTCCATGTAAGAGAGACTTGTCTCAACTTGCAGGGCGACCGTGTATTTGTAATGCACCTTGAGGATGTGGGGGCTGGAGATGGCTGCTGCAGCCTCCTGCAGGTGGGAAACTGGGTGTCAGGGCTTGTGTGGCTTGGAGAGGGAGCGGCATGTGGAAACTGCGGTTGTCTCAGTCAGATCTGAGCTGCAGGGCATCTCTGCTAGTGTGTGCAGCCTTTGGTACTCCCCTCGGGCAGGTCAGCTGTCGTGACACCTGAGTTACGGTTGGATCTGCGGCTGGTTGACAGCCCTGGGCTTGTCCCAGGAGAGTAACAGTAATAAATTAGGCACGTAGCAACCAAGTGGTTGCTTTGGGGTGACTAAATTCCAGATGTGTCCGCCCTACAACCTCCTTCCTTGTTCTTTTGTGGGGTTTTTTTGTTCTTTTTTTTTTTTTCGAGGTAGGGTTGCCGTGTTCTCCCATTTCTCTCCCCAGCGTGACGCGATGCGCTGGCATTGCACAGGGTTGTGTGTGTTACAGACAAGCTCTTTTGTATTTCTCCTTTCTTAAGTGCTGCAGGTGAACAGACCTGGAGGAGAACATCCTAAACAGCAACCCTAGTCTCACCTGGTTGGGTCCTAATGACCTGCCAGCCCCCAGTGCTGTTGTTACGCTTTGTAAAAGCTTCTGACTGATGAAAACCTGAAATGCTTCCAGGACTGTGGTGTGTGCTGGGCATGCCAGCACCTTTCAACATGCACTAAATGCAGATTTCTAACGCCAACAGGACCTCAGAGTCTGTGTTCACAAGATGTTACCTTTGCTGTATCTCTCAGCTGTGCCACAGTAGCAGGAACGTAGTCTGTAGAGGAAGAAAGAGGTGTCTCAGCAAGTGGGATAGAGTAAGCATTACTGCTCTATGCCTAGGGACACATTAAGGTCTCCAGCAGTCCCTCTCCTCAACACTCAGTGTTATCTCCAGCAACAGCAGCCAACCCTGGAGCCAGCGGTGGTCCCTTGAATGGAAGCAGCATCAGCTGCGATGGGGTTCATCTGTAAGATTTAGATAAAACCACCACACAGGAGTTCAGGCTCTGCCTTCCCTTTTATAGGGATGGGAGCCTTAGAGGTGGGTTGTCTTTCCTGGGTAGATTTTAAGAAAAAAAAACAACAACGAAACAAACAAGTATGAGCTGCTGTTTTTATTGTCTTTGCTCTTCTGATCTCCCTAGGTCCTCACTGAAAGCTGGAGGCAATCCCTGTCCTTTGCCAGGGTTGTAAAGCTAAAGTCAGACCTCCAGGTAGGGTGACTTCATGCAGGTTTGTTGAAGTCTCTTCACAAGGATCTGCTCTACGTTTTGTCAGTGCTTTGACACAACTGTGCTTGTTATGAGACAGAGCTATGTCGTTGAATGTAGTCCTGCTGCTAGCTCTGTGCTGGCTTTTGATGCCATAAAGATGCTCTTTGAGGTTGTTGGGTCCCTGAGCTGTTTGCCCTTAACTCCCATAAGCCACAGCTGTCTTCTGTATCAACTTTACCTTTGGACTGCTAATGAGGCTGCACTGCTCGAGACACAAGCCCTGTCTTGTCATTAGTGGTCTTTTGGACCACCTTTCCTCACCACCACGTGGCTCAGGCTCATGTCAGAGCAAGGGACTTGGCAACTGGTTGTCCACATATTCGGTTTGGTTTTTTTTCTGGCAGATAGGCCAGAATAGACTGCAGCAGGTTAACACCTGTGTGCTACAGTCTCTTCTTGGTAGTATTTGCTGCGCTGAGTGGGTTTTTCATGCAGCGGTGCGGAGCTCGCAGCTCAGCCACCGGCTCCTACGTCAACACTGCGTGATGTTTTCTAGAGAGGACAACTCTCAGTGCTTCCTCCCAACTCTTTGTTTCAGCTTGTGGAAACAAATGTGCTCCCCGGTTTTAAACTGCCATTTTGGACCGTGCAGCTGAGCGCTCCTGCAGCTGCGCAGGTGCAGGCAGCAGAGCCCTGTTTTGAGTTTCCAGCATCCCAAACCAACTCTGCTGGGGACAACGTGATGACCCTGGTGCTACCATTCCTGCCCCAGGCTTGGGACATGGGGACACTGTATAGTTTTGGCCAGGAATCCCCCTCCTGGGGCAACCAGAGCTCTTTCAAACCTAGCCCAGCTCACAGAAGTACTAAAAACCATCGCAGGTGCCCTGCACTAAGAAGCAGCATGTAAGGACTCCCAAGATTTAGGTAAGTTGGGTCACTTGCTCTGTTCATATCCCGAGGCCCATTTTGACATTAGTTGCTGTGCTAGTTGAGAGCATGGAGGGACTTGCTTTCCTCCGGGACCAACATGTTTTATTTCACTCTGTCCTCAGCACTGTGGTTGCTGTCTCTGCCCCGTGCTTTTAATATCATCCCATCCTTGGCTGCAAATGGGTCCAGGAATGAGATTGAGATGATCCCTAGTCCTGATCTCAAAGCAGGAAACCATCTCAAAACTTGCTGCTGGAGATTTCTCCCATAAGATACCCCTGTCCCTTCAGCTCCCCCTCACTGACCTGGTGCTGGCCGCCGCGGCTTCTCTGGAATGGTGGAGCTGGATGACTCTGGGTTATCAGCTTCCAGAGGAGTTTCTTCCTGTGTCAGATGGATGGGAGGTAATGCTGTGAATCCCACCCTTCCCATGGGAACTGGGGTGCTACCGCCTCATGGAGCACCCCCACCCAACCCACTGTTTTTCCAAGGTCTGTTTGGAGTCTGGAACTGGGGAGACGTGACTTTGTTAACCCGTATATCCCGATTTTGCAGGTCTCTGAGCTCATGTTAAGGTGACCATGAGCAAGAACAACAAATCTCGGCGTTACAAGGCAGAGGGAGTGGCAGGTATAGATGCTGCTGGAAGGCCCAGAGTAGGTGGTGGGTGAATGTGTAGGGATCTGCCCTCCCCAGGACACCGTCTCCTTGCTCTCCTCACCTGGATATGCAGCTTGTTCTGTAGCTCAGCAGGCTCAAGGAAGTTGCAGGGGACAATCCCTTTCTGTGGGTGAGAGACAAGTAGAGATTGCTTGGCAAGAAGACAGCCCGCTGCTGGAGGACAGTGAGCTTGTCCTCACTCTGCCCTGAATCCAGGAGAGTCCCTGAGGTTTGAAGCTTAGTTGCCACAGGTTGGATGGCTCTCACTGAACCCTGTGGCCTAAGTCAAGGTGGACATAAAGGACCAAAGTCGGAAACTCGTGTAGCTGCTGACAGCTAGTTTTTGCCCTGCAAGTCCTCTGCAGAACCTTGCAGCATCCACCCCATCATCTGCCCACTCCTGCCAAGCACGCCTCTGGTACCTTTCCATTGAACATCACCGTAGCCCAGTTGTCTTTCTCTTTCTTCAGGACAAAGACAATGTTTCCTGGCAGGACCTGCAACTCCTCGGCAGTCTCGGGAATGAACTCGTACAGGACGCGGTGCGGCTGGCCCTCCGGGGGCCCGGGGGGGGGGGGCGG